TTACAGGAAGCAAATTCAAATTCTGTTAAAAAATACTTCATAACAGTAAGAACACTTCAGTTGTGAAACCACATCATTAAATGTGTTCAAGCGGAAGCTAGATAGCCATCTGTCTGGAATGGGATAATTTGGATTCCTACATATTATGACCTAGATGACCTCTTCTAGCTCTGGCCCTTTTTTTATTTCAAATTATTTCTGTGTAAAATGTCTGCTGTCTCAGATATTCAGTTCTCATTTCCAAGACTTTACAGCAAGGATGTGTAACATCTTGGTGGTCAAGGGCTGTACAATATTTGGACTGAGGGATGCAAGGGGGGTGGGACAGGCATGTCCACAATAGGCAGTTCAAGGAAGTGGCTATAACCATAGATCAAAATTCCTTCCATCTTCGGCCCCACCCCACCCCACCCCCAGTTGCAGATGCCCCTGGGGTAGTGTTACATTTGGTAGGGTCACTTTGCTGCTTAACTATGATGTGCATATTCTACCTTATGCTTTCACATGCTTCCCACTTCAAAATTATGGGAAATTGCCATCAGTTTTGTGCATCATGATCAGAGGGGTCTAATGCGGACTAAGGGTTGCTCATTTGTGCTTTAAAGCAACATGTTAGTGAGATAGTTAAACTCTCAGATAGTTAACTGAAAATTCTTCAGGTGATCTTGGATGACAATTGTAATGCCATCAGTCTGTATTCTTCACTCTATAAAGACTATACCCTATAAACTTTACTAATTTTTTTTCAGCAGAGCATTTATTTTGAGTAGTGCATTCAGGACATCTTGTGATTGTATCCCTTACTATTATATGCATTAAGCAGTTGAGCTTTCTCTAAGACACAAAATATCAGCACATAAAGATATAAAGCAAGCTGGTGCGACTAGCAATAATGCTGCCTTTGTTTTCTGTCATCAGTGGCCAAAACCCAGTTGAATAATTTTATGAGTGCACAATCCCGTCTTTCATTGAATTATAAAAGATTTCATGAGGCCTGTACATTATTTCCAGTCCAGACTCTGAAGGATTTATATTATTCCGGGTTATGGGAGTCCTACTATGCAGATGAGAAGAACAAAACCATGAAAAAAAGCAAGGTTTAGGTTGCAGTACCTCATATAGTGTATAAAATAACACCAGCGAAATAGCGCTTTTGAATATTCGGTGCTGGAATATGATCACGGAACATGAAGTTATTACTTGTGACCTCACGGAATAAGTACATCTGGATTTGTGCATAGCCATATATGGCAATATAGTTTTAAGACTTGGAAGTACCAAAGATTGACAGTTAACCTTAATGCCACAAGCTGTAATTTTACTAAAATTGAAGAAAATTCTTTTCATGGAAGAATTCCCTTCATACTTTCATGTGAGTTTGAAAAGTACAAAATATCTGTTCAGATTGATGCTGGTAGAAGCAACTGGTGCTTCTAAGAACTACATTCTTTTTAAAAATGTAACTGAAGGAGATTTGATTGAAGAATCTTTGCTCTTGGTATTGATACTTTGCTTTTTGCTTCTGGAAAGTAAAAAATTGCTGGTAAGTGTGTTTTAAAAAACTGTTAACAACAGGCAAGAATGAGAATAAAAGAAATGTGAAGAAATAAGAAGCTATGTATCACACAAACTACTTCATTTTTCTGTTTGAAATTGATTTTCACTACTCTGAAGTAAAATAGACTCTTTCTAAATAATAAATTCAGATTTTTTTAAAAAAATCAGTGCATAAGTAAGTTAGAAGCAATGCTGGAAGTTATAATTCTGGAAACATTTGATAATAAAATAAGATTGATCCACAAAGAAAAATCTTCTATTTAAAAGAATTGTTCCTGAATGGATTTTTTAGTGAGCAAATATTCTGAGAAGAGAAGAGAAGAGAAGAGAAGAGAAGAGAAGAGAAGAGAAGAGAAACCCACTAAATGTTGCTTATCTGAGACTGACTTACCCCAGTGCTGTTCCTTTTATTGTGATTTCTATGAATCAATTGTAGTTTTTAACCCTCTGTAAGCCTCCCAAGAGAGCCAGTTTGGGGTAGTGTTTAAGGCACCAGGCTAGAAACGGGGAGATTGTGAGTTCTAGTTCTGCCTTAGGCACCAAGCCAGCTGCAGGGACATCCCGAGACCATCACCAGGAGTCAACACTGACTCAAAGACACACACACACACATATATATACACACAAAGCATTCCAAACTCACTTGTCAAGTTGGTGGCATCAGAAATTGAATAAATCAGTAATAAATAAAATAATGCAGTGCTGTTTCAAGTGTGTATGTAGAATCACTGCTCTAATTCTGTTTCCAGGTATTTGCTGGAGGCAACTGAGAAGCAGTACCACAGTAGTACTAAATAGTTCTATTGTGGAATCAATTGTTATTTTCTTAGCATATGTCCGCATTTTTTTTTGCATATTCCGAATCATCACGACATTTTCCATTTTGTTATTTATTTCACCCTTTTTCAAAGGCCTCCAGAAAATCTGTTTTTACTGCTTTCCAGAAGCTCATCACATTCAGGGCTAACTTACAACCAGAAAGGAGACTACTTCATAAGAGCAGAGCTGTGGGTGGCAGTTCAGAGATGGAAGGCTTATGTTATCTGCCTGAGGATGGGTGAGCAAACAAGGCAGAGGTGCTTGACCAGGCGGGCTCCTCTGAACGGCAGCAAGCAAGACCAGGGCAGATGCAGACTCTGCCCACCCCACTGTTTTTACCTTTATCGTTCATGAAATGGATGCTCATGAAAGATGTCTATTTTTATTCTTTTCCTGCAATTTAAGATCTTTATTATACTTCAGACATATTATATGAAGATCTAACTCTCTAAAGAAGCTCTAATCTTGGGAAAGGTGGTAGGAAAGAGGAGAGGATGACCAGCAGCAAAGTGGATGGACTCAGTTACAGTGGCAATGGGTACACTGTTGGAAGACCTGAAAGACCAGGTTAGGGACAGATCATCATGAAGAAAATCTATCTATATGATTGCTAAGAGTCAACTCCAACTTGATGGTACATAATCAAGATCGTTATTCCTTATCCTGAATTTTCAGTTGATAGAGAGTGGTCTTCCTTTGTGTAAGGCTTCCTTTATTTCAGGTATTTGGTGGGTGTTATCATTTTGCCACATAGCTTCTCTTCTCAAGGGTAAACACTAATAATTTAAATTGTGTCCATTATATAATTTGCAAGCAGTGCAGATGTTTCAGTACAGGCATTAGTGGTATCACATTTTGTACCATTTGTAACTTCAGGATTTCGGTTTAAGGACAAGGGCTTGTAGAGAACATTGTATTACTAAAGATACGATATAACTAGGGCTGGTATAACTATTGTCAAATCTTACCATCTCAGATATAGTTTCAGCTAGCACACTTTTTTGCCACAGCTAATACTTGTAAATCCAGAGACAGCTGAACATTTAAGCTGTACTCCCAGACTGTGGACATGCAATTTTAGAGGAAATGCAACTGCAAAATAGATTGAACCTCAGTCTCCAATTCCTATTGATCAGCAGAACCTCCCTTTTGTCAATATTTAAATTTAGCTTGTTATCAGCTCATTACCAAACTTAATGCAATTTTAAGTGGTACTGATAGCCTTAGCTGACACCGAATTCTGTTAATGCATGCTTTGAAACTGATAACACTTATTTGTTGCTTCGAAACTCAAAATATTTGAGTTTTTAACATTGTTTACAAGAAATGTCATCATAAGAGGTATCACACATACATATCCTAAAAGTCCCAACACAGTTGAAGATTACTATTGATTTGGGCTCTACTTGGCAATTGGAAGAGCTCCTGAATCTTTTTCTCCATATAGAATTGTTAAGTAGGTAACTTTCTGCAAAGGAAAGGAATTAATATTAAACATTGAAGATGTATTCTGCTGTTTCAAAATATTAGACTAGTTAGAGAAAAGTTAAGTGCTGCTCTCTAGCCTTGTCCATGAATCAGTGTGACTCATCCTATCCAAGATTTCAATAAAACTAGCTATATAAACACCCATTAGTCATTCAGGCCCTTACCAAATCTTTGTCTCGTTTTCCACAAAGTTTGGTACACCCAAATCCAAGTGTTTCCAGTTCTAAGTATGCTCTCTTGGATTGAAAAAAGTTACCAAGTACAACTGCTGAACTCACAAATGTTCCTATGCCACTTATGTGATTGTAAGAACATGTAAGGAACTATGGCATAATAATTAGGTAAGCCAATTGTAAGGAGAAATTAAAATATTTTAGAATCTAGATAGTTTCACTACTCTTCTAGAGGTATACATATAAAACAATAATAGGTCAGTTTATGAGAATATATTTCTACCAAATCACTAGTACACTCTGAGTGATGTTATTGTAATTATTTACAGAATTGGGTCTAACATTTAAGGTTTTTCCATTATGGAAAAATATGTCCTAATATTAACCAGTAAGGATGGAAAAAATGTGGGGTGAGGTGGAGTGGGGTGGGGTGGGAGTTTGAAAGTCAGGTTCTGAAATTTCTGTCCTTGTAGAGTTTTTGACTATGAATGTAATAAATTAGTTTGTTCACAATCATTCAGCATGTATTTTCTTGCCAGAATATCTTGCAAAATATTATGTACTTACAATTAATATCCACAATTTTAACTTCTCTTCACCAAACAACTTTACAAAATGTTTCTCTGCTGTGGCTGTGAACTGAGCTTTTGCCAGAAGCAGGCTTTTAGAAATAATTGTTCACAAGTTAAAGAGGTGGCATTACATAAACAGAAAATAGAAAGTATTGCCAAATTGTAAATTCAAGGCCAAATTGGATTATATCTGCTTTTTGTCATTTTTACTTTTTTCACTATGATCTTATGTACCATGAAGATTGCCTATAAAGTTATTATGAAAAAATAAATGTTATTGGTCAATATAACTTGACAGGGAAAATGGGGTGAACAATTGCAAGGTGGCAGTTGTTGCAAATGGCAAAAAAATTAGAGCAAACAGAATATTTTTGTAGAATGCTTGCCGAAGATGGGTAATGGAAACATTTCAACATGTGTAAATGCTGTTAGAAATATAGTTAGTAGTTTGTGGTCTGCTGTGAGGAATGAATGCTTGTCAAAAGAAGCTAAACAGTTTATTAGGAAGAATGCAGTTCTGCTCATTTTGTTGTATGTAAGTGAGAGTCAGGTATGTCAGAAAAAGTATAAAACTACAGGTAGTCCTCACTATCCAAGCACAATAGAGGGCAGAATTTAGGTTGCTAAGCAGTTTGATCATAAAGCGAATCAGAGCTAATTTTATGACCTTATTTACAATGGCTGTTAAGTGAATCACCGTGGTCGTTAAGTGAATCAAATGGTTAAGTGAATCACACAGTCGTTAAGCAAATCCAACTTCCCCATAAACTTTTTTTGCTGGAATTTGCTTAACAACCATGTGATTTGCTTAATGACCACGTGATTCACTTAACGACCATCATAAAAAAGGTCACAAATCGCGATCACGTGACTGCAGGGATCGTAAAGCACTTTCCCCAAGGCCATCGTAACTTTGGACTGTCGTTAAATGAACAGTCATTAAGCGAGGACTAGCTGTAAAATGAATGCAGTGGGATTGGAGACTGAATGGATGTTGAATGAATGTACTGTACACTGAATGCAGAAATGAGTGAACAGTACAAAAGAATTAGATTGAGGTGATTTGGTCATGAAAAGAGAATGAATGAGGATTGAATCACAAAAACATGTGAAGGAAAGAAGAAGGGCTGAGAGGAAGGGGAATACTGAGAAAATCATGATTGGATGGAGCTGATCAGATCCTTAAAAAGAGAGAACTGAAAAGGGCAATGAATGAATCAGTATCTGGACATGATGGAAGCAAGAGTAGTTTGCAAGGATAAAAATGGATAGAGAAGTATAATAAATATAATGAATAGGGTTGGTATAAACTAGATTTAGTCAAATGTCCCTCTGTCTTTGCTTATCACATTCCTTAGGGTTTTTACTTACTACTTCTTAATTTTTTTTCCGTGTCATGGATATGTACAGTATGTATGCACAGTTATGTAGTTTGGGACAACTTCTAGATCTAGATCCTTCTCTTATTTCCCAGACTGAGGCAATTATAAGCTTCAATAATGTGCAAACTGCATCCTTTTCTGAAAGAACATGATTAAAATGTGAAGCATGTGTTGGTAACCTTTAAGTCTAACTATAGTGATCTACTCTATCGAGTTGGTTCTGTGTTAATACAGAATTCCGCAGCCAGGTTCATCTCCAGAAGTAGCTCAGACAGACTAAATTAGACCAATTGCACAGCTGGCACTACATCTGTTGGTAATTTTTTCTGGGTGAGATACAAAGTCTTCATTATTACCTTTAAAGCCCTGTATAACTTGAGTCTGTGACATGAAACAATCCCTTCTTTTATATGAAATCTACTCAGGGTCATCTGGGGAGGTCCATCTACTGTTTCTGTGACCATATCTTTTGATCACTTGGGATCAAGCATTCTTTGTAGCTGCCCCATGTCCAGAAAATAGAATGTTTCCCAAATCCTCATATCTCTGACTGCAGCAGGTTTAAAAATGCCTTAAAAGCACATCTTTTGGAAAGATTTTTTAAATGTTTATTATTTCATTCTGGTTTCTAATTTCGGTCTAATTTTTGTTTTATGCTTTCACTATAATCTGCTGAGACTTCAGCAGACAGCAACAAAAAACATAAGATGTTTTATTTTATAATAAATTATTCATTTTGTTTATTGCTATGTTATTAATATTAGTAATAATCTCACCATTAATAGAAGTATTATCACTACTTATTTCTCATTATTATTTTAATGTAATAATGTGTAATGTTACCATTTACAAGAGGAGGAAAAGCAAAGCATGAAAATGATCACCTACCAAATTCAACATAAATATTAACAGGGAGTTAGCCAGAAAAGTCAAAACAGACACATTTAAATTCAAAAGTGAAAATCTCTCTGAAGGAAAATTGAAAAGGAAAGTGAAAAATGTAATATCTCTTCAGGATGCTAAGAATATTTAAAAGCATGAAAATTTAATCTCTTATCATTTAGCCCATGCTGGAAAGATACAAACAAGTGCAGGAAGGTGCCAGTAAGTTTAACAAGCAAAGTTAAGAAAGACGCCTTCTTTTCCAAAAGCAAGAATCTGCTCCAAATCAGAATAGAGAGAAAAATATAGGAAAAAGTACCAATTGTTAGGTGGCAAAATATGAAAGGATTCCCAGGGAAAAAAATTGGAAAAAATGTGAATGAATTCATTGTGCTGCCTTCACTGTGGAAGATGATGAATGGATATGTGCATATGAACCACCTATTTCTTTTTGTCTCAGAAACTACATTTGATGAACTAAGCAAAAGCCATAAAACATTTGAAATGCCCCAGCTTCAAAAGCAGATTGCCCTGTTGGGCTTCCCTTTCAAACAAAGCCAAATTCAAGCTACTTTGAATGTCTGAAACGAATGTTGTGACCCTTTCAGACCCGTCTTTAGTGTTCAAGTAAATGGACTGCTTCAGATAACCGCATTTGTATTTAGAAATAAGTTAATTTTACAGTTACTCTCTTGCCTCCAAACTTGTATTCTGGTACTGTAAAAATCAATCTGAATGGTCTTAGGTGCTACTTTAGACTTCCCAAGTGCAAGACCCCCTAGTGCTTTGTTCCACAGCTCCTATCTTTACCAGCATTAACCATGTTGACTAGGTTGATGAGAGTTGTAGTCCAAACATTTGTGGGACCTGAACGGGAAAGCTTCTTTTTTTATTTAATGATATGGTGGAAAATAATTATGTTAAATTTTAAGTCTTCATTTTATTGGGTTGGAGATAATGATTTCATTCTCAGGGTTTGTTTGTTTAGTATTATTTTCGTTTTCTTATTTGCTCATTTCTTTTTCTGCAATAACTAGATTATGATTAGAGTTTATCATTAAATGAGTACTTTTCTTTAAAATAAGGAGCTTAGTGTTTAGAATGTAATAATGCAATTCATATTAGATTGCTATAATGTACTCTTCATGCAGCCGTCTTTGAAGACCATTCAAAAACTACAATAAGGGTCTGTGAAAAGCAGCTAATTGCTCCAGACCTCAAACGTGGAGGTGACCTATCCAGCTATGATTCCATATTACAAATGAATAGATTTATTAATTCTTTCAAGCTATTTTAGAGGGCAGAGAGAAAGGAGGATAGGAGGAACAGCCATTACCAAGACAACAATCAGATAAAAGGGGTGTGAGCCTCGGTTATAGCTTTACACTTAAAGTAGTACTGACCTACGTGGCATTGGTTTCCTAGTCTGGTCTACCTTAGGCTGACAGCTGTAAAGCTAATCTGTTAAAATATAATCTCTCAAAAGTTATATTTCCATTTATTAGGCCATTGATTTGTAATGGTATGCAGGAATGACCTTGGGAGACAGGAGGAAGAGCCACAGACTGGACAACCATCATCTAAAGGGTATCTCAGCCCACAGAAGCAGAGGGGACATGGGAAGCATTTCAGAAGAGACCCTCCCTAGTTTTCCGGACAGTAAAAGGAGAGGATGGGAGAAATACTTTCAGACTTGCAAGATTCTGTTAATGTAACCTTATAATCAAAATAGAGCTAGTACTTCTGGGTATATTGGCTACAAGGCCTTAACAGTATTCACTGATGGCCAGGCTTTTTCCAACACCAAGTCAGTGTGCTGATTTTCATGCTTAAACCTCCTAAATGGCATGTGATCAGCATAACTTCACAGCAATCTCTGTATGGTTCCGTCTGAATGCTAAAATCTACATCAGAGGTCCTGCTTCATGTCTTTCTGCTATTTGAATGTGGCAGGTGAGCAGGCGAGAGAGGGCCTTTTCCAGTCATCTGATTATTCACCTCAGGGAGGCTAGTCTACTTCAGTTTTTGTTATCTTCTGATGGATAACAAAAAAGTGGGTGAAGAATGCAGACTGTGCCTGTGGAATTCTTTCCCCCCTTTGTGAGCAGTGGCCATAGAAGCTGCGGTAATATATTGCATCTTTGTGTCTGTGTATGAAGGACTAATCAGGGTGGGAGCAAGCATATGTGTTGCTTCTGTGTGTGTCTGTAATAAGGGTGAGTGCATATACATTACCTCTGTCGGGTGTTTTTTCTGCTCTTCCCTTGTTGCATCTGTGTGTATAAATACACTGAGAAGAACAGGGTGGGCTGCAGATGGTCCACTCTGGGTTATGTGACCAGGGGTGCTTAAGAATGAAGCCGTTGGCTGCCCAATTGCTTCCCTCCTTGAATGGCATTGGGGTGTTTTTTCTCTGCATCTCCTGGCCAGATGTGGCCCATTTTCAAACTCAACACTTCTTTTGTCAACTTGTTCTCCTACACCAAATTTAGGCCCATTCCATCCTGGTTTTGAATAGTTATCCTGCTGATAGGCAGCAAGGGTCCCTTTACATAAGTATTTCCAAAATTCTTACAGGAATCAAAATGGAATTTCTGCCTTTAGGATGTCCTGATCTAAATCTACAGAAAGATTTTTCATCTGTATTTTATTTTGTATATTCTTGTTGCTGAAATGTCAAAATATTTAAAGTTGTTTATTATAATAATATGTTCTGTTTTGTGTATTTTTGTGTACTTTAATGATATGTTGCTAGCCTCTTTGAGGTTTCTTTTAAATCAAAAGCAGGATATAAATAAATAAATAAATAAATCATCTAAGAGTGCAAATAAAAATACGTTTTAACTGCTTTAGCAACCAATTAATAATTATGCTGGAAACATATAAAGTACAAATTAAGAAATGTTATTTACAATGTAGTGTAGCCCTTGCATGTTTATTCAGAGGAAAATTCCCTTGATTAAAGGAACTTACTATCAGGTAAGGGTGGATAGGATTATAGCCTTAAATGATGTAAATAAAGCTTTTTGATAGTGATCTAAATCTTGTTTGAAATCACATTTAAATATATTTACCTGGTTTATGAATTATATATACAGTGGTACCTCTAGTTACGAACTTAATCCGTTCCG